TTTAAAAGGTCTGCTGTTCCTTCTGTTCTTTAAGCATTGAAGAGAAGGGGTTGTTGCTCAGACCCTGACTTCGTCTTGTCTCTGTGATTTCTCTTCTCCCGTGTCCTAGCTAGGGGTCTTTGCTTAACTTTCCTAGTTAGCAGCTGGGTAAACAGACTTTCTGCAACTCCGTGGATAAAATGACAAGCTCAGGGGAAAGTCGTCTGGGTTAAAACTAAAAAGAAGAAGGAAAAAAAAAAAAGGCTTGCTCAGAGGGCTTGGGGAGTAGCACCTGACAGCACTGGAAGGGAATCCAGTGTGCTGGCTGGGGAACACTAAGAGCTGATGACCAAAACAGGCCGCTGCTGTCCTACTGAGGCCTGTGCTCTGGAGAGTGGGCTCGGACTATACTCAGCAAAAACAACGGGCAAGTGAGACAAGTGACAGACGTATCTGATCGGCACTTTTCTAAATATCTGTGAATTCCATAGCATGCAAAGAAAACACCTGATCTGAAAAACTTAAATGACCATGAGTAGCGATGGAAGTACTCAAATTGCTCTGGAAAAAACACTTGGAAAGAAGACTTTGAAACACAAAAGGAAATCCATGTGTCTATTTAGGAGTGTAGACTTGGTAAAAATCTATAAATACTTCAGTTTTCAGTTTTGGGTATTAAATTGGGGGTATGCAGACAGGAGTTTTGTTTTGTTTTTATGAATACAGTGAGTCCATCCGATGGTTTATTTTTAAAGTTATCTGTACTGCTAATTCATTCTCATGGATCCCTGTACATTTTTACAGATTTTACAATTTTCTTAAATGAAAATAAAGGCTGAGCAAAGTGTATATGAGCTCTGAAGAAAAGAGCTTATGATATAATGTTTAATAGCAGGCAACAGACAAAAATATGGTGTACTCACATGGTAATTTAGCTACTGTTACTAAAAATATGATTTCATTATAGAAATGATTGGCAAACCACACCAGAAAAGCCGTAGTGTGTATGTACATGCTCAAAAAACAAAACAAGCCAAAACAAAAAAACAAAAACAAAAAACCCCAGAAAACAAACGATTAACAGGCACAGCCTGTAGCTGCAATACTTTTTAAAAAACTGTTTTAAAGGTTATGTGAAAATATAGTAAACTAACTTCCTTGGCTCATCAAAGTGTTGTTATAGAACATTTCAAAACAACAAAAGGAATCGTGTCTACTGCACAAGTCCAGCAGGCGCTGGTATAGTAGTTCGTGCCTTGTAATCCCAGCAACTTGGCAAGCTGAGGCAGGAGAGTAAGGAGTTCAAAATAGCAGACCACCCCTCAGTTCAGTCTCCCCCAAAGCATTAAAGAGGTGCAGAACTTTGTCCATTTTTAATTCTAGGAATCTAGCACTCCGAACAGTCTCTGGTACATACTAGATATTTGATAAATATGTGTTAAATAAATAAATGAGTTAATAAATGAATAAAAAGTATATATCATTGAATCTTATGAGTTCCTCAGGTCTTTCCAAGAAAAAAGGGGGTCTTTCTGATTCCCCGCTGCTGGAATATTTAGAACTGTCAGGTAGAGTAGTGATGGTGAACCTTAGAGAGTTTTCAATGATTCAAACAGCCCGCTGTGACATGCGTGCCATAGGTCCACCACCACGGAGGTAGTTTTCGCTCTAAAATGTCTCTTCAGCATAGATAGAAAATAGAAGCCTCTGGAAAACAAACCAATTTTATAAGCAAAAAAATTGCTTTTTTTTGTTTTGTTTTGTAACAAGGATCGAACTTGTGACCTCACACTTGCCAGGCAAGCGCTTACGCTGCACAGCTAAATCCTTGGCAAAAAAACAAAGCTGCTTTCTTTCCCAAGGTCATTCACCTACTGTGCCATAAAAGCTGTAGTAACTTTCACGACATCATCTCCTGTACTCTCCCCAGGCCTGACCTTGCCCTTCCCCTTGCTCGCCCAGCTCCAGGCACTGTCTTCTGCACTGCTCCCTAAACTCCTAACACTCACCCCACTTTAAATGCTCCTCCCACGAGCCTGTCAACCTCCCTCTCCTTTCTGATGGGCCTCTGCACAAATCCCCCTCTACCAGACAGGCTCTCCTGGTCCACCTGAATGACAGAACCATCCTCATCCCAACTTCTGGCACTCTTTGGTTCCCTTCCTTGAGCTATTTTTCAACAGTTTACTTTGTTTCATTCAGTTCTGTACTTTCAATGTTTGTAACACTGCCTACCACATATAGGTATAAGCGGTGTGCCAGCTACTTCAGGGAGGTAACACGATCTGTGGGAAAGTGGTGGTCTTCCAAATCGCATTTCTGTGTGCCTGACCCTGAGACTAACCCCCTAAGTTTCACAGTTCTCATCTGTAAAGTGAGAATATGATAGTAACATTTATCTGACCTGGACTCACACTGCTTCCTCTCTTTCCTTTCTCCCTGCCTCCTTTCGGTGACTGGAAGCTAATGTGGCTCTGTTGTTATGAAACCAGCTTAAAGTGATTCACAAGTTCTGTGACTTGAAACACATGAAAAGCAATGCCAGAAGCAGAGAAGGCTCCTGAACAACACCATCCTCACGAAAACTAACACTGACTGTGCTTGTCTGATAACTGATAGGCTGGATTTGAGGCACGAAAAGGACACTCTCTTTCCTGAAGGTGCATTCATCTGACAGGGAGGAGGATACAGGGTATTAGAAGGGGTGGCTCCCTGGAGATGCAGATGGGCCCTAAGGGCTTAACTGTGTTCAAGACAGAGTATGGGAAACATTCCAGAGAAAAAAAAGAAGAAACCAAATGGGAGTGTGGCTGGAGCAGGGGCTTTCTGCGAAGCAGACAAAGAGAGGTCAACAGAAAAGGTAAGGTCAAATTGTGGAAGACGTGGGATGTGAGACTGAAGAGACAGGATGTAGTCTGTAGTTGATGGAGAGCCACTAAAGTTTTTGAATACTGAAAAAAAAAAAATCACACAATGAAAATGATAAATTTCACAGTACTGCAGAGACCTCTGAAAGCCAAACACTAAATTGTATGAACAAAGTTAGTGACATCTGTTCAGAAAAACACGTGATGAAGTATGTGTTAAGTGGGATTGAATTAATATCCTAATTTCCTCTGATCGTCACCGCTTGGTTCACAATGAAGGAGACACTTGAGCTGGAAGACTCCTGGAGAACTGCAAATCACAGAGAGCACCAAAGATGTCACCATGCGGGGAAAAGAGTCGAAAGTCTGGCCTTCACACAGAGCAGAGTTCTCTCTGCCATCTGGTCTGGGTTTCACAGCAGTCAGTACCTGTGATGCTGGGATTTCCTCTATCAAATTTCCTCCCCTCAGAAGACCCCCTAGATTCTTCCTCTTGTGTGATTCTCTTTTCTTTCTGGTGTCTCAGTAGAAATATAACAAATTTAGGGGATCCAAAATGCTGAGACACCCAACTCTAGAGTATATGGAAATAGAAAGAAGATGACAGATTATTTAATTTACTCCAAAAAGGGAAAATAACAACTAATCTGTTACAGATTCTGCAAACAGTCTTTGCATAGCAGAATTCTACAACAGAATTTAGCAAGGAATAAAAGTTTTAGGACAGAAGAAACTAATGGCTCAATATTATGGTTCTTGAAGCTATCAAAGTGCTGGCAGCTAAATAATAGGATGATACTTCTATCTGCCTAGATTTTATATTTTCGTGGGGTTCTTCTCACAGCATGGACATGATTTATTTAGACTATCAAAGAGCTTTTGATAAGGTTCTCACAAGTGCCTATTATTGAAATTTGGTCAGCATGGTGTGAAAGGGAAAAATCATATCAATGAATTAAATGAATTAAAAATGCTTGAGAAACTAAGAAGCAAAAAGCTGAAATAAATGGCCAATTCTCATGTAGAGAAAGGTTAATCATTGAGGGCTCTGGGGCTTTGCAGTAGAATCCAAGTTATATTTAACTAATGACCAGGAAAGGGGCACCTAATTCTCACTTCCCTGGTCTGTATCAATGCCACACACAGAAACCCCATTGATATGAAGAACATTTGGCAAATGATGGAGATACAGACAGTGCACAGAAGAATTGCTTAAAATCAAAAAAGGCAAATAGATAAGTGAATATTAACTCAAGATTTAATGGAGAGGCTGTAAAATAGAAAGAGAATAGAAATAAAATGGAATTTTATTTTTAAGAGCTCTTATATATAGTATATAGCAATACATGGACCTTTTAAAATGCACGCAGCACTTGAACAAAAGTGCCTGAATTATGCATAATTATAAGAAATTTTCAATCTTGAAGAACTGCTGATGTGGGGATTTAGGTTCATGAAACTCACAAAGTCTATTCTTAGAAGTAAACAAAAGTGAGATTGATGTGACAGAGTCAGAGTCGGGGTTCCTCTTTCTAGGAAAAGTTGAAAAATTAGTGTATGTTTTAGAGAAGCACAATATGACATGAAAGAATACTTTGGAAATCAAACATTCTAATTAGTTAACATGACCTATAAATAATGATTCCCACAATGGGTTCAGAAAAGCTAATAAACGCTTCTTGAGATTTTGCCTTCATTTCTTATCTACAAATGGAAACAAAAGGTCTTACCTCACAAGATGACTATAAAGATTAACTGTAATAATGTACACAGAACATTTATCACAGTAAATTTACAAAACAATGTTAACTATAACTGTGGCTGTCATTGTTATTATCACTATTTACAATGCACTAATCACAAACACAGGCCACAGAGAAGCAACCCAATTTTAGACATTATGACTTTCTTCTTTATATTATTGTTCTGACTCAGTTCTTACTAAAACATTTAAATGCTTTCAAATATTTTTGAACAACAACAACAACAAATAGTTTAAACACATTTTTCCATTATACTGTTTTGGGATATGGAAGAGAATTTTTTCAACTGATAAATACAAGCCAAAAAAGAAACACACACACATACACAAGAACAGCTAAATGGTTATCACGTCACATATTTATTCTTAAATGTACATTAATCCAAGCTTACCGTGCAGACAATATTTTAATAAGCTCCTTTCTATTCTGTACTCGAAGATGGTTGGTTTTATACTTGGAATCATCGATCAACTCAGGCAACTTTAAAATCTAAAAGGGAAAAATAATTATAAAAAATAATTAATGACTTGAATGTGTACCTGCAAGCCCTAGGATTCCTACCATTCAAAACCTATCACTCCATTTCCAAGACCATTCCTTTCTGATCCTTTTTACCTCTTAACCAGGAGCTATGAAAAGAGCAAATACAACTCAGATGGATCATGCTGGTGAAGGGGTTTGTTGTTTACAAGAGGGCTTTACTACATTTAAATACATATGTATTCCTGCATAGGAAAGCACAAAAAAGTTATCAGACCTCCATAATGTCTTATACCAATATATGAGAATAGAAGAAGTATCAGATCCCCATAAAAAGTCTTACCTAGAGGAATTAACAAGAAAGATGTAAAACCAAACAAAATGAACCTATTTCTAAGAACCTGTATCATAAATTCATGGCTGCACTTCCATGAAGCCCATGACCAACATATATCTCATAGTTACATTCGCTTATTTGTTCCACATGTAAATAAAATAATATTGTCTGTCCCAGTAGTCCTATTCAGGATGTTCTACAAGATACTAAAATAAAAAGGAACCATTTACATTGCCCAAATGCTAGCCATTAAAACAATGTCAAATTAAAAGATCTTCTTCCTATAGGAGTGTCACCACTTTTGTTGAGTATGTTTCCCTTACGGAATATGAGCTACAAATGCTTTTATATACTTCCTCCTTTGCTGATCCTCACTAAAGGGAAAAATCTATCCTGCAAATCCCTCTGGACATCTTGCAATTTTAACAAGACTGTAATGAAAGTACCAAGTGGATTTGGAATGGAAAAGAAGTTTGGAACAGAATGTGAGGAGGCAGTGTTTGGCAGTTGTGTTGGAAAGTCCAAAGGAGCGTTTATGGGCTGGGGGCAGGCCATGTGGCCTACAGAAAGCTTCACTGCCTTATTAATGTATTTGCTTTTAATATAAACATTTAATGGTTTGATTTGTTTCCCCAGTTTAAATAAAATCAACCCATTAATCATCTCACAAAGGCGAGAGAGTGAGGAAAATTCCCCGGAGTGAAGAGACCATCTCAATGGTGCGGTTCCTTTTCCACAGTTTCCACTTCCTCGTTTCCTTTAGGAATCATAACGACAGCATTCCTCTCCTAGATTTTAAAAGGTGACGCCACATACAGTGTTCTTCCTAGAAACCTGTCGCCATACCTGATTCCAGAATTGGTCTTGCGTCTTGTCCAGCAGTCAGAAATCTTCCCTCCCTCAGGGTAAATAAGTCATTCCAAGAAAAACCAAATGCCTTCACTAAATCACAGGTAAAATTTATAAGTCTGGCTTCACCCAGAACATACCATTAGGAACATAAAAAAGTACAGAGTGACTGCTCTCAAGGAGGACTGGAATGCCCATGTGTCCCCTATGTTTGACACAGGACCTCTTTTCTCTTTGCAGTCAGTGGAGAACAGTGGGGAAGACTAATTACAGCATCTTTCTATCTTCTGCTTTGCAGGATAAGGTTCAAAATGTTTCCAAAGAGATAACTTTAAAGGCATTCTTCAGGTGCTTGAACAAGAGTGCTGCCTGGATACATGAATGTGCGAAACATTTATCACTAAATAAATATGAAGCATTCCAATTAAACACTATTTCCCCCCAAAAGAAAAAGTAAAGTATATATTTGTTCAAAGAAGAAAGAGAAAAGAAAAGAAAGGATGTCTCTGTGGACAATAAGATTTGATAATAGAACCTACAGAGTGCTTTCAGACTCCTATCATGTGATGCCTCTTACAGCAAAGCCCAAGGCCCTTATGATAGCCTACCTAAAAGGCTCCATAAATATGGCCTGTTCCCTCTCCAGTATCATCTCCTATCATGCTCTCTCCCTTTGCTGCTTACTGTAGTCATGTTGGGATTTTTTTCGGAGGTAAGAACATTCTGTCATGCCTTAGCCTCCGACTTCTGCATCAGATATGCCCTAGTCTGCAACATCTTGTGCCAGACACGATTTGGCTAACTCCTTCCCTTTGTCAAGTTGGCTCCAGTGTTAACACTTTAAAGGGACTACCCTGACTATCCTAGCCCACCACAGCTGCCCCCACCCCATTCCTGCTTCCCTGGGTCCCTTCCTGCCTTGCCCTTCTTTTCCCTATAACATATTTATTATAGTTGTTATTTATCACCTGTCTGCCCTGGTAGAATGCAAGGTCAATCAGGTCAGAGAATCTCAAACATGTCATTCATAGCTGTATCTCAAAAGCCGACAGCATTTTTATCTTCCAGCTGACTGACTCACAGATGAACAATGTGAACACTTTAAGATACGTGATATTCCGGACATTACTATATGAATAAACGTTATCCTAGCAAGTCTATAACCACTTTTTATGTGGATTCTTCTTATAATCTATGGCCTCTGAAAAGAAGGGGGGACCCATGTTTATAACAACACAATTACAATAGCTAAATCTTAGAAACAACCCAAATGCCCAACAAAGGAATGGATAAAAAAGATGTGGTATTTTTACACAATCAAGTACTACTCAGCCTAAAAGAAAGATAAACTCGAGGTTTTTATAAGTACATACATGCAACTTGAAACTATATTTATAAGGGAAATAAATCAAATTTGCATAGGTAAACATTGTATTGTTTCCCTAGCATAAGAAATTGAAAGCGTAATAAGATCCAAAAGGTACAATAGATACTGTGAAAGAGAAAGAAACTGTTCAAAAAGAAAAAACAACTGGGATGGAGGAAAGGAGAAAAAAAGGAAGGAAAAAAAATATATATACACACAAGATAGCTAAGATAATTATACTAGTCATTCTAGTATTTCATTGAAAGGAACACTTAGTGCTTCTATTGTTTGATCAATTTTGCATGCCCATATCTGGTAATCTGAGCAACTATTTTAAAGACAATAAGCAACATAATAACCATTGTTAATTTCCTATCATCTTGTTTTGAATTTCAGTAATGTTTTTATTGGGTTTTTTAATTCTTTTTAAAATAAAAACTAGAAATTGAAGAGTAAGGAGAAATTGTCTACAGGTCATAGCACCATCTGCATGGCCACCACTTTATGTGCATTATTGATGCTTGTTAGGTTCAACTGCCATTTACAGAGCTTCCAATATAACCCACAATACTATTACAGTTCAAAGATAATCACACTTCAGAACTGACATAAAAGGACACTGTATATACAGGAAGGCACACAAACAGAGCATCAGTTACAAGAACTGTTGGAATCCAGCTTTCAGGTATAGAAAAAGTAAACATCCTTTACAAAATGTGGGACTTCCCAAATTCTCTGAAATATAGGCCACTCAAACTCCCCTCTGCCAGCGCAAGTATGAGATAAGTTACAAGGTTTGCTGGAAACAAGTTTTCTGAGATGACAGTAATTAGTCCACTGTTAATATATCCCCACTCCATTCTTCTTTTAACTAACACATTTTGATTTGTTTTATATCTTTTCTCATCTTCTTTAGTTGGCCAATATCATTACTCTTGAAATGAATTTACTGAGTCATGGGTTAGGTTTTTTTGTTGTTTGTTTTGGTTTTTTGTTTATTTGTTTGTTTTGTTTTATCTTTTCTGAGTATGCCTTTCTTTTATTTGGTGCTATTAGGCCATTCATACTTAATGTTATATTGATATTTTTAGTTTATGACTTAGATCTATCTATATTATTCTTTGTTCATCTGTCTTCCTACTCTTCCCTTTTTGTGGGGTTTATTGAAAGTTTTTAATATTACACTTATCAATTTTGACTTGGGCTATTTTAAATAGATAGACATTATAATATATATAATGTATATAGGTAGAGATTATAATATATATACTTTTTAAAATATACATTCAATCATTATTTTCCACTTCAAAAGGAATATAGAAAACACCACAGTATAGCTCCATTCTCCTACCTATTTTTTCTGTCGGTTGACTCTACGTACAATGAAAATCCCATCAGACAATATCTTACTGTTTGCTTTCTTCCCTCAAATGTATTTCAGGACACACAAGAAGACTGGTGCATTAAATCTATGCACATCTTTCTACTTTGGTTCTTCTTCCTTCATGCCTGGTGCTTCCTAGTTTCCTTCTGACACCATTTACCTTTTGTAAGTGAAGAACTTCCTTGAATACTTCTATTAAAGTAGGCTAGCTGGCTTCAATTCCTCTATGTTTTTCTTTATATGACATTTTTTAACCTTCCATTCCTTAAGGACATTCAAATCACGGCTGTCAGTTGTTTCTTCTCTGTCTTTTAAACATGCAGTGCCACTTCTTCCTAACTTTTGATGAAAAATCTGCAGTCACCTGGGTCATTCTCCCCCCATAGGTAATAATACATCACTTTTCCCTGTTTGTTTCCAAAATTTTTTGTTAGTCTTAAATTTCAATATTTCAATTTTGATACATTTGGACATAGAGTTCCTTGGGTGTATCCCATTTTGGTTTTTGCTGAAATTTTAAAATCTGTGGGCATTTGTCTTTCACCCGATTTGGATTTCTTGGCTACTATTTCTTCGACTATTTTTTAGTATATAAATTTTCTCTTCTCTTTCTGATATGATTTTTGTTAGTGTACTGCAGGTCCCTGAGGATCTATTCTTTCATTTTGTGTATGCAGAATAGGGCTTTTATTTCCTCTGTATTGTCCAGACTAATTTTAATAAATCTAACTTTGAAGACATGGTTTAATTCCTCTGTTATATGCATTGCACTACTGGACACACCCTGAGAGACATTATTTCTTTTCTTGGTTATTGTATTTTTCAGTTCTAAAACTTCTATTTGGTTCTTCTTCATAATTTCTATTTCTTTGCTAAGCATTTCTTCTTTTCCATTTATTTCAGCAGTGTCTGTAATGCTTGTTAAAGCATTTTTACAATAGCTGTTTTAAAGTTTTTATGAGTTAATTCCAACATCTGTGTTGTCTTGGCATTGTTTTTTATTGATTGTCTATTCTCATGCAAGTTCTGGTTCTTCATATGCTGAGTAATTTCGGGTTGTATCCTGGACAATTTGAATATTGTGTTAGGAGCCTCTGGATCTAGTTTAAATCCTACGGAGAATTTTTGATGTTATTGTTTTTAGCAGACAATCGGTTGATTAAGTCCAAACTACAAGTCTGGACACACCTTCTGTGAGCTTTAGTTCTGGTTTGGTTTGGTTTCACCAGCTTCTTCAGTGCTATTTGAATCTGTCCTGCATGTGACCCATTTAAAGGTCCTACTATAACCTCAGCAGTCATATGCTCATTAATTCAGTTCAGTTAATTTGTTAACTCAACATGTTTGGGCCACTAATCAGAATCAGATCAGGGCATAGGCGGCTTAGGCGTGAGCCCAGGAGTTCATAAGCAGCTTCAAGGATTGTTTTGTAGAGCTCTTCTCTCTCTGCAATCTCTCTAGAACTTTCCAGTTTCTTGTGACCTCACTTTAGTTACCCCATTCTTCAGTATACTCACAGGGATCAAGCCAGCCAGTGGGAAGACAGAGAAAAGAGGCAACAGGGATTCATACCTTTCCTTGGAAGCTCAGCTCAGCAATGAACAAGAAAATTCCCTTCCTCAGAGCTTGGCTCCTGTTCCTGGACTGCTGCTATAGGATCTCTGGGGGGCTAAGACACAGATAGGGGAAAGGAGCGGGAAACAGAGGGTTTCCACACTCCAACATTAGATTTCACTTTTCATGCTCCTTGTACCAGAAATAAAGAGAATCACTCCAGCTCACGTCTGATGCCTGCTGCTTACAGCAGGTTGCTCACTCTACCCTGTTCAGGTAATGGAATAACATGAGAGAAAAATTTGTAGGTTGAATGCCATAGAATAACTTCAAATTCTGATGTTCTCCCTCAATTCTCTAATTCTTTTACTTCTTAACATTCTCAGATATTTTATACCTCTGTGTGAAAGAGTTAGGGAACAATGTGCTTACTCGGTCCTCCCCAGAACAAGTTTCCATGCCCAAATTTTGTAGAGGCCATTTAGTGAGTACATACTATGAGCCAGGACTATACTACGTATTTCACTTATCTAATTGAACTCATAAAGTTCCACAAATTGTATTTTAGCATAGTTATATATTGTAATGTGTATTTTACACATGAGAAAACAGATGCTTAACAAAAACTAAATAGTTTGGTAGAGGTTACCTGACCAGAGAGATGACTCACAGTGTGCCTTCAGAATTATGCTATAATGTCCTCAGACCACTGCTTTAATGTCAAATATAGTACTTATTAATACTGAAGCTTCCCGAACCCCACCTTAGACACAGTAAATCAAATCTTTGAGAATGGGGCTTTACAAGATTCTTATGCTTTACTAAATTTGAGAACTAATGCACATTGCCTCCAATAAAAGAAGTCTTCAGTCTAAATAACTTCTAAAAGGATATCAATAGACTTCAAATAGAAATATCCATTAGTGTTGGCATCAATTAGCTTACATATGCTCGCTTTCCCATGTCATGGTAAATGACATAAAGTAGGATTTGTTATAAGGCAAAGTTCACTTAATAAACAGGTTTCTGAGTCCAAGCCCTAAGCCCAGGCATTTTGCTCCTATTCAACCTGTGACAATGAGCACTCTGTAACAATCCCTCTCCCCAAAATGTATTAATCAACAACCGTATCCAGTTCCATTTTGGAAAGAGAAAGAACAAGTCAATTCCACTCATTCCTCATAGCAATACTGTCACATTTCCTCCAAAGATGTAGAGCTCTCTCTTCTTTCCTGATGGGTCTTAGTTGCAAAACCAATTTTGACAGATTCATGGTAAAAAGGAAAAGAAAAGAAAAATTGAAGACCGCATCTCCTAAAAGACCAGTTTGAATACTGAGCCCATCATCAATAAATAAATTTAAATGAAAAATGCAAGAAATATTTCTCTATATGTGACTGGGAGGGAAAGAGAACTTTATGTCAGAATAGGGAAACAGATGATTCCTTTCTTAGGTGAGAAGGATTTTAGCACACATTTACATGTAAGGATATAATCTTGGGATTGAAAAATCCAATCAGATTGTGGCATTCACTCAGGATGCCTAGGAAATGATATTTGTGACATTCACATCCTGTTCACATCAAAGTTTTCTTCTGAGAATCTCAAAGAGTTTTATAGACATTGCCATACTGGCTCAGAATGGAGATCATTCCTAACTCACGTGAGAAAATCAGGTCGTGTTTGCCTTTCTGCAAGGTGCTCTGCTATTTTCCCTAAAGAATATGTGTAAGAATACACCATAACTGGAAGTGGTAGTTTAGTATTAAAACCTATGGCAAATATTCTGCTTTGAAATAGAAGTCCTTTCCAAAAAACGTTCCTTGGGATATTTATGGAGAAGTTCAAAAGTTTCAAATTGATCATCAGTAATGAATCAAAACTAAAAAGAGTTCAGCACGGCTACTTTCAATAGTGAAGAACATGTCAACCAGTAATCCCCCTCCCCACTTTTTTTTTTCTTTTTTGGAGTGAGTAAACTCTAAAACATATGGCCCAGGAAGAAAATCTGCACTCGTTTAGAGCAATGAACTGGCTTTTACATCTCTTGCAGTTAGAGTACGCAAATGACTTCACAGGCAACAGCTTCCGTATGTTTCATATTTTTAACTTTGACCGTTCATAATAAAGATTCTTTGATCCCAGATCAAATGTTTGAATCAATTTTCTCTACACTTACTGAGTGGCTGCTATAAAAGCTCTCCTCCTCCCCACCTCAGACGCGCCAGCCCTTCCTGCATGGGAACTGGCTCCATTTGTCACCTTCCCTGCACTCCTTTCCACCCCTTTTCTGTGGGTTTTAGCTCTGCTCGTTAACCTCTCCTACAAAAGAAGTGCAGTAATAAATAATTTTTCTACTTAGTGTGTTAATTACAGTAATAAGATTCTTCTAGGAAATTCACAGGAATCTTTAATAAAACTAAAAGCTCATGTTGACAAGGTTAATAAAAAAATTGTCTCCAATTAAAAAAAAATGTCCTCATAGGTGAAGCCATTGTCAACACGCAAGAAAAACACAAAAAGTTAAATACATTTTTAAAACTAGGTTATATTTCTGGGACTAAAACTGGAAAAACTAAGCTGACATTAAAGTTTAAATAAAAATAAAAGTATTAATAAACAGTAAAGTTTTTTTAAATGTCTAAGCAAAATGATAAAAATTTAGAATATCGATAACATAAACTATTTTAAATAATTCCAAAGTCTTTTTAAGTCTTGTTGAGAAGCAACAATTTTCCATATACTCTAAACTCTTTCAACATAAATTTTGTGGAAAGCTATTCATAAAGTAACAGTTAACTTGACAAATCAAAGCCTTACACTTTCTACCATTAAGTAAAATCAATTTTAGAGAAGTTCAACTTTATTCGGGCCTACATAAACCTGTGATGGATAAAGAAGGGAAAGGAGGGAACTGGAAGGAAGGAAGGAAGGAAGGAAGGAAGGAAGGAAGGAAGGAAGGAAGGAAGGGAGCAAGGAGGTTTGAGAAAGAGGAAAAAGAGAAAGGAATAGGGAAAATCCGTTTAAAAAATCACTTTAAAATTCATCTCTCTTTCCCTTTGTGTTTCATTTAATAGACAGGTTGAGTTTAAGAAAAATTTAAGCTATTATAATTTTTCATTTCAAAATACAACTAGATAATATATAAGGAAAACAGAATGCTAATTTAATCCCAGCCCTTACTTACCATTTACAATAAGCTGAAAATGGTGTATCTGAAGTACTAACACAAGGGGACCTACATCAGCATCGTTGTGATAGACAACGCTAATCTGTTCCTGACTTTGTGTATATTAAAGTGTTTAGTACATCATCCGTCCTTTTAGGAAATTATGGATTACCTTACACATAGTCGCAAACTGTTCGTTATTCCCTGCACCAACCACAAGATAGCCGTCCTTGGTTTTAAAAGCCTAAAGAATAAAAGAAAAACATACATGTAAATACAGGTTTATAAGTTGAAAAGATCACAAAGAAGTTGGCTTTAATTTCTGAGACATCTACATAGAGACATTCTAAGGAAATAGTGTTAATTAACTTAATAGCAACTAATTAATATATTTTTCTGATACATTTGTCTAATATTTTTTCATTTAAGATTTTCAAGGTACTTCCTAGGTCTTCTACTAGCTGGAAGAAAAAGGCTGAAAAAATTAAAAGAAATAGCATTATATTTTAATTCATAATGTTAAACTCTGTATTTGTTATAGTATGAATGAATAAAGAATTTTTCAAATTTCTGTGTTTTGTTTCTAATTGTCCATGTAGGGCAAAAGCACTGCTTTTCTATGAAGTGTAAGAACAGAGAGAAAAAAGCAAGGCATGAAAGAAGGGAGGAGGGAGAAAGGAAGAAAAGGAGAAATAGTGAGATATAGGGGCAACATTTCATTTTGGGATCCCAGATGTGAACTTCTGGACCACTGGAGCTTTATGTACCTGAAAATGGCTGCTGCCTTTTGGAGACAAATTTATCTAAAGAGAAATAGCCCGTAAGTCCCCACCACCCGCAGTCCTAAGCCACGTGAGTTCTTTTGTACGTTTCCCCCTCCATGTGTGATCACAGTGCAGTTGGAGGAACTGATCTTTGTTTCCAATGGCCTCCTTTCTCCTTTCCCAAAGTAAAATCAGCTCTTTGAATTTCCTTTCTTTCCGTGTGAAACTTGCTTTGTATCTTCACCATTTTCTTTTCTTTTCTTGCCTCTGAGAAGGCTGAGCTCTGTCTCCCATGACAGGGGTGACTCCTGTGCTGATCACCTGCGTGCTCTCTCTACCCACATCCTCCAGAACCTGCCTGATCATTTTTAGTCTCTTAATTGCACCAATCCTATGCATTCTGCTGATGTGCATGCTCAAGGCTTCACTGAAAATACCATTAACAGCAACAAAAGTTCCATCAATTTTTGTCACCATTTTCAAGTATTCTTGAATTTTTCTTCCTTCCCTCTAGCTCCAATTGACATAAAACTGCCACCTCCCCACCCACACTCACTCAGGAACACCATATCACAATGCCCTTTGTCTTCTGGAGTTTTCTCCTATCACCATACTGAAGTAAACTTGCTTTGATTTCTCTGCATTAACTTCTACTACTAACCGCCTTCATTCAGGATACCATCAAATCTCCAGGCTCTGTTCCAGTTCATCTCTCTGACCTGTTCTCCGTATGTCCCTTCTGCAGGGTTTTCTTCCCCTCTGCTACAGCATTCCTTGAACGTCTGCCTTGTCTTTTCACTTCATTTGTTTGCTACGGCATTACTGGCCTCATGTAGCTCTCAAATTTACATTAACTGAAATCAAATTAACCAATCACAGAAAGGCCACATATTGTGATTCTGTTCGTATGAAAAATCTAAAATAGGTAAATCGGTGGATTTGTCTGCATAGAACTACAGAACTTGGAGGGAGTGGGCTATGGGTGCTAATGGGTCCCAGGTTTCTTGTTAGGGTAATAAAAAATGTTGAAAACTTTATTGTGTTGATGGTTGCAGAACGCCATCCATAAACAATCATTGAATTACTCTCTTTAATTGGTGAAATTACATGGCATTTCAAGTCTATCTCAATAAAGTTATTTCTAATATTAACTTAGTTTATATTCATAGTTGTAGAGCTATATGTTAACCATTCAATAGCAACATATGACCTGGCAGCTACTGTACTAGACAGCATGAATATATAACATTCACTTCATCACAGAAAGTTCTCTTGCACAATGCTAACAGTCTGTATTTATTTTCTTTTCTAGTATTCCTACCAGGCCTAATATGATAATTGAAATATATTAGGTAATTAAGAAATTACTGATAGGTATCAAGCAATCAGTCAAATGACCATCTCATGATAACAGAATTGTGGCTGAAAGGATCTCATGTAAAAACTACCAAAGTTTTGTTCAATTCTCCTTGTTGCTTGATTTGGTAAGGAATGCTATTAAGAGGAGATCCTGTGAACTATTTTAAGCTTTTTCCCTTGTTCACAAGGGCAAGAGCAAAGATAGTGTGATAAATAAATTCATCCAGGTTTTCTAAACTACAGGAAGGGAATCTGCAGCAGAACTCTAGGTGACTTACAAAGGATTTTGAGGTGAGGTGTCTCAATGAGCTGCTGATAACTACGAAGTTGCACGGATGCTTTGTTTGCTTTTTTATAGGGATGAGTGGAGGATAGATAAGTAAATATGAAGTAACCACACAAATTAGAAAGTATAACACAAAGAATTGTCTTTTACATTTTGCATCAATGACATGTACAATGTTAATGCGTTGTGGATGAATCATTTCCTGTTAATAAATGAATCAATTTCTGTTTATTCCTTCAGACTCCACTTTATCACAAAACATATCTTGACCAATATAAAGATTTAAAATTTTAATACAGAGATAACTGATTAATGATCGCAGAACAGAAAGTAAAGATTTGCCTGCAGGTAAGCCACCAGAATAGAATCAGACTGAAGATTACCAAAGAGATTTTATAAAGATTAAGACAGGAGCATGAGTTTTTAGAATAAACATATCTTAAATGAGAACTTTTTAAAAATAATACCATATTGCTACAGAAAATTGAGCAAGTGTAGAAAAATACAAAGAAGAAAGAAATTCAAGGTATTTACCCATATTATTACCAAGAATAGCTTAGTCAATTACATCTTTCTATTTTCTTCCTGGTCATTTTAGTATACTGCATTAGTTACTGTACATAATACTGCATTATTATCTTACTATACATAAATATCTACTGTGCTTTTTTAACTTAATGTTGTCACATATATTTCAATATAATTATTTTAATGACCAAAATATCTATTTTAAAATATGTTTGCACATCCTCAGTTATTTTAAACTGGAGGATATTTCTGCATCATTTTGCTTTGTTTCAATTAAACCCTACGTGATATGATTAACATCACAAATAATAAGCTATTTAATTTGACAGTAAAATTTTGAAACAAAATGCCCAGTCTAATTGAGATCCTTTAAAATTCATCCTTATAAAGCAATATGATAAAAATAAAATAGAAAAATGATTCCCAGGTTGGCCATTGACTTAACCTGTGTGGTATCAGGCAAATTACTTAATTTTAGAGCCTGAGAAATCAGAAAAGATAACATAGAAAAGTGATCCCTGAACTGAGATCTAATAAGTCGTAAGCATCATCAAAATAAAGAGTTGGTGGAAGCAAATCATTGCTGAAGAGAAACTGCATACACAAAATATCTGTGGTGAAAAGAAGCAATAAACCATGAGAGAATAAAAGAAATAGGCTTAATAGATGTGACAGAAGTCACCAGGGAGCCAGAAGTCAAAGGCAATATGAAAAACGTTACTTATCATAAAGCTAATGGGGAGCCAGTAAAAGAACTTGAATGATCATGTCTGCATTTGAGAAAGAATCTCTGGTTGTAATGTAACCAATGGGAAGATAACATTAGAAATGAGAAGACCAAGGAAGAGGCTACTGCGATGATCATGGGAAAAGGTGATGTTGTCTTACATTCAAGCCCATGATAAGTGAGTCAGAAGTAAATAGATTCACTCAATAGTTAAGTGGCAAAATCTACTGGAATTGGTAATGGATTGAGTATGATCATTGAGAGTTGAAGACTAAGAGGGAGGAAAAATGCCATACATGATACACAGATCTCTAAGACACTTCACGATATTCTAGTGGAAACTTCACATAAGTAATACTTGGGGTCAGATAAAAGTCTGAATAGTAGATAAAAACTTGGCATCCATTTGCTGAATAGACTGAAGAATACCAACAAAGTGGGTCTTTGATTTTGGCAGCAAGAGCTGTTGCAGTGCTGTGCCAACAGAATGTAGATTTGGGGGATAAAGGACTAACAACAATTAAAGAACTAGAGCGTGTGCAAGGATCTATCTGAGAAGTCTGGTCATAAAGGGAAGGAATAAGCAAGGGCTGAGAACAGCGCCACATGGATATAGATGTGTGTCCCTGTGGGTTGGGTGGTGGAAAGTTGAGGTAGTTGACACTTCTACTTTTTTATTAAGTAACGAGTAAAGCCATTGACTGAGGGCAGTTAGTAATAGAGTAGGCTGGAACACTAAAAAGAGCCTTACATATTGCTAAAGTCAGGAGGGAGAGCAGAGTGACCACAGAACATAATCAGAATGCTGATGTATTGAGAAATCAGTTGTCTACTTCAAAAACATGAGCACCAACTCCAAACCTTCGTAGGAGCCACTTGTTTTTTAATAAGATTTTCTTCCACAAAAGGTAACCACGGCTAAAGAACTTTATCACTCACTGGAAAAAGACATTCCATGAAGTTTAACTCACAGCCATGAGAATGTTTTCTGGAATGTCAAGCAGTTGACTTCTGGGTCTGTGCTAGTACATTGTGACAGATATAGAGCTAACGGTTCAGTTCACCTTATGGTGCTGGAGCAGGGCTGAGCCAGATGGGACTGAGGGAGGCTGCTTGCAAATCAAGAATAGTGTCATCGAGGGGATGCAAGGATACAAGAAGTCTCCAATTTAACCTACTACCAATTTTGTTTATCCACATATTTTTTCACACGGAACAAACCATTTTGAGAAGTCCTAGCCAAATCTAATCCCTTATTTTGAATTACATATTTCTAGGGTAGCCCAGAAAGCAATATTACATACTGATTTCTACTTCACATTTAGAATAGGATTTGCAAATTCTTTTCATTTTTTTATTTTTTATTTTTTTATTTTTTTGTCAGGCCAGGGATTGAACCCAGAGCCTTGAGGAAGCTAAGCACATGCCATACCACCGAACCACACCCCAAACTTGGATTTGCAAATTCTATACAAAATTGAAGTTTTTGTATAGAATTGCAAATTCTAGGGGCTGGGAATTTAGCTCAGCGGCATAAGCATCTGCCTTGTCATAAGTTCGATCCTTGGTACCAATAAAAA